CAAGACCACTAGGCTACCCCAGCCAAGCCTGTCTGCTTGCCCACCCGCCTGCTTGGCCACGCTGGCAAAAGCACAGGGAATTTTGCAGGGACAGTCCCAAGTAATCTTCTGTTCACCCACTTTTTCTGTTGCTTTTAAAGTGTCCCAGTTTTTCTTTCCTCTTTCCACTTTCCCCTTTTGCCCTCCATTTCCTTCAATTGCTGCAAACTGTGTTCATAGTGCAAAAGTAGTTTGCTCTCAATTAACTGAGCAGAGGGGAGAAAAGAGTGGGGGCAGAATCTCATCCTTTCCTGTAGGTTCAGGCAAAAGCAAATAGCTGCAGCTTTTCGTAGCTTCATCCTCATTAATAATATTTGACATTTGGCCACATGTGTCCCAGTTTTCGTCTGTAAAACATTGGAGGATATGCATTAGACCAGCCACACCTGCTACTCATAAACCATGTAGCTGCTCTTTGGGAGTTGTTTCACTCTTTCATTAATGTGGTGGAATCATCAAAGAATGTTGTTGCTGTGTGCCTTCAAGTTGTTCCCAGCTTTGAGTGACCCTAAGACAAACCTATCACAGGATTTTCTTGGCAGAGGGGCTTTGCCTTTGCCTTCCTCTGAGGCTGAGAGAGTGTGATTTGCCCAAAGTCACCCAGTGGGTTTCCAAGGCTCAGCAGGGATTTGAACCCTGGTGTCCAGAGTTATAGTCCAACACACAAACCACAACACCACCCAAAGAACATTAAAAGGTAACTATTTTGTGTATGGAAGCAGTAGCTAGCAATTGTCCTTGAAGGGCCACCCCATTTTTAGACCTTCCTAAATCTTTCTGTGTGCAAAGAGGCTTTGATTTCTTGATGAGAAAAGACTCTGACACACTGAGTCGTGTGATGGATTTGGAGGTGTGGAAGTGAGGTCTCTCATTTTCACTTTTGGGACTTTTAAATTGACTCTGAATGGGACTTCAACTCTGCTTGCTAGTTCTCTATACTATTTAATTTCCCAGCACTATAGAAAAGGGAACAGCCTTGTTTTTCAGAGAAAGCCACATGTAATATCTTGCCCATGAATTTCCTTGAGCACACTGGCCATTCCAGAAATGGTTCAGTTTCAGAGCTGTTTGACTGGTTAGAAATGACGAGTGCAGATGCAGTCTCTAATAAGCTTATCGCACTGTGTTCTCGGAACGTAATGAGAACGTGATGAGAACAGAACGGAACATATTTTATCTCACGGTATGATCCTCATTGAGTTCCCACTCTGTGCTCTGACAGTCCCTAGCCCGTTCCAGGAGGAGAACTATAAAAATGCATTCTCAGCCAACAAGAACGCTTTCAGACCGGTGGAGATTATGTGTGTGAAATAATCCTACCGGTCTCAATCTGTCCTTGTGTTCTGATTGGCTAAGACGACCTCTTCCCCTCCTGTCCTAGAACGTCCACAAACTCAATTCACTTCTTTCAGTGTTGATGCAAGGAAGGTGCCACAGGCAATTTAAAAAATAATTTTTATTATTTTTGTAGATTGAATTGTGTTGTGTTTACAAGAAAAAACACTGAATGCTCGCTACCTAAACCTCTTGGTAGCATTCTTTCCAATGCAGCCATAGGAGTTTTGCAACAGTGAGCATGCGCCAATGAGGGACGGCTGAGGAATTACTTTAGCACTGGTACTGGTACAACAGTAAATGAAGTGTGATAATATGTGTTCTCATAGTGTTACTATCCCGTTATCAATAGTCTAATGTGGTAACACCCGTTCCCATATCGTTACGTTCCAGGGACTCAATGGGAATGTTACAGGTACTGGTGAGATTAGCTTATAAATTTGGTGAAATGAAAGGGGCTAAGGCTGTCTCTTTATCTGGTATCTAACTTTGCATTCTAAGCTGTTATCATGAACAAAAGTTGTCTTGGGACTGCAAAGCTGAAGGGAAGCACACTTTGACTCGCTTTCAGGGTCAAAGGGCTAAGGACCACTAAGAGGTCACTCTCCCTCCACCTCCCACAAAGAATCTCATGGTAAAAAAAAACTGGCCCAGCTCCATCCGTTGGCTGGAAAAGGCAAAGCCATAGGGAAATTGTTTCTCCCCTCTCTGCCACAGAGATGTGGAACTATTCTGTTCCAACTTCCCTGAGATTTTCAATCTCAATGGGTATGTTCTCTCTCTGATATCATTGTCAGACAGAGGCAAAAGGTTTCTGCAGAGCTTGGAAGTAACACACAACAATTAACAACATTACCTGTAATATTTTTTTTTGGGGGGGGGAATAGCCATAAAGTTATGAGAGGAGTGGTACATATACCTTCAAGTCAATCATTGACTTGTGGTACCTGTCGACCACATCAATTTCGTTGGATTTTCTAAGGAATGCTCACAGGTGGTTTTGCCAGTTCCTTCCTCTGAAATACAGCCTACAATGCCTAGTATTTACTGGCAGTCTCCCATCCAAATACTAACCAGGGCTTAGCTTCCAAGATCAGATAGGATCTGGTACCTTTAGGGGTTTATGAGGACCCCTCCTCATATTTTTACATTAATATGAACAGGAGCCATTAGGGCTCATTTTCTAATTTAAGAATGCTTAAAATAAAAAAAAAATTAATTCATTAAAAATGATGTGTTACTAATACATTGTGAATATGGTGTTCACAAAATAACAAGTAGATTAATGCTAGCTTTTAGGAAGTAAGCATTAACATTTTCTGTTTTTTGAATAACATTCCACTGTGCATGCATTTTGTTGCCTTGCTTGTTATCGTCTGATTCACAAGTAGGATACAGTATGTGTGCAGTATATAATGCTGCCGAATTATTAGAACCCATTTTCTTTGAAGATTCCAAAGACACACAGAACTATTTTCTGTTTATACCATGATTCAACTCTCCGCCTTAGTCAATGCCTAAAACCAAACACCAGTGCAATCAGAGTTAATTGTTTTAAAATGCATTTTTCATAATTTAGAAGTCATCTCTCTAGACAATGGACAGATCCTCCTTCCATTGTTTTAGTGGTTGGAGGGGAGAAGTGGTTGATGGTGTGTTCAGCCAAGCTAGCTTCCGCACCATTTCCTTCCCACTGAGTCATAGTTATTCTTGTCCCAAGGACCAGTTTTTCATCTCCTCTTTAGTAGGTTGAAGGTGTTTGCAGTTTAAGGTGTTTGCGTAATGTGTGGGATTTCCTCTCCTGACCCACATGGGAAGTGTGCTGTCTAGGGTATATGCAATCTGTTTTATTCTCTGCAGGAGACTGATCCACATTCTTGTTTCCTGTTCCACTAAACACATATTTTTAACATAGACTGTTCAATGGATTAATGTAAAGAGAGCAAGAGAGAGAGACCTAGCCAGAGCTGTAGTAATTTCCTCTTGCTGTATTTTCCACTAATTGATGGTACAATTGTTTGCATCGCTATTCAGATGTTGGCTGAATGGACCGTGTGTCTGTGTGTATGTTGTTTGCCTTTAAGTTGATTCTGATTATGGCGACGCTAAGGTGAACCTATTACAAGGTTTTCTTGGCAAGTTTCTTCAGAGGGAGATTGCAATTGCAGTTCTCTAAGGCTGAGAGTGTGACTTGCCCAAGGTCACTCAGTGGGTTTTCATGGCTGAGCAAGGATTTGAACCCTGTTCCCCAGAGTCATAGTCCAACATGCAAACCACTATACCACACTGGCTCTGAAACATACTGGCCGGTCTAAGATTACTGCTAGGGAAGGAAAAATCTATCAGTTTGCTTTTTCCTATATTTAGATTTTTGAGACCTTGGGTGCATCTACACTGTAGAAATAATGCAGTTTGTATCTTGGCATTTGTAGTTTTGTGAGGCACCAGCATTCTTTGGCAGAGAAGGCCAAAGACCTGGTGAAATTACAAATCCCAGGATCCCATAGGATGGAGCTACAGCACTTAAAGTGGTACCAAACTGCATTATTTTTACAGTGTAGGTGCACTTTTTCAGTTCCTTCCATACCAAATATGAAGATATTTGGTGATTTAGGTATATTCTTCTCAACAGTAAACTTAATTGAAATTTCTCATCTATCCCTAATTGCAGCCTATATTCCTTGTATTGCAGCCCATATCTGACAATGGCCAAAATCCTACAATGTTCAGTGTAGTGTACAGCTCCTTATTCACCACCCCAGGACTGACCATTTTTCCTTCCCTTCCTTCTCAATGACTATTTTGTGGCTGGTAGAGAGCAAGAGGTGCAGACTAATGACTTCCATCGGGATATGCTGGGATATGTGAGGTAGGAATATAATCAGACTTTTCTTGGATTCCTTCCTCACCAGGCATGGAATAGCTATTCATGGAGGCAGTCACATCAAGCCATAAGTCTGGAAGAGAGACTTTTGTTGTTGCAAAGTGTGGAAGAGAACACCAATCCCCACAACAACAACCAAAAGAAGAGACAGGCGGGTGTAAGGTGAACTCATACTTGTATTTGTCATTGATGGGATGCCACCAAATCCTCCAAACCACATTTTAAAAATAAAAGCTGATTTGGGGGCAATTTTTAAAACCTGGAAACCAGCTAAAAGCCGCACCCCACCCAAATCTGCCCACACATGTAGTAGTTTGCTTCTCCCAAACCTTCAGCACTCCTTCAAGCCCCATAAAAACAAAGGGAAAAAATGGCCAAATGTTGGCCAAAATGGTCAGAAGTGACACTACATCACTTTCAGCATCCTTGTGCTGTTGTGGCCCACTGGGCAGGTGTAATGGGAAATGTTCCCCAGCCCCTCTTTAAGATAGTCAATAGTCGATAGGGAGCAGGCATCCTGACTTTACATTTACTTAGGCAAAATCTTTCCCAGAAAGGGAGCTTTCTGACTTTGAAAAGCAGCTTGCCGAGCTTTCCTGGGATCGAGGCTGCAGCCGGCAAATTCGGCAGCAAAATCCATGCGATAGAACCCAGCTGCAGCCTGAATGAGACTTCAACTCGGGAGCGGTAAGTCACTTTTTAAAGCTGTGCGATAATCTCCCAAGTTGGAAGAGGACTTCCAGAATTTCTGGGTTGTCTCTCTCTCTCCTCTGGCTCCTTTTTTGGGCGTTTATGGCAAACTGTGTCACTGGTCAATTAGGATAGTCTTTCATGCACCTGATGAAATGGATTGTAGTCCATGAAGGTTGATGCCATAATACATATGTTCTACTTCAAGACCTGCTGTGAGAATTTCCCATGGCTTCCCCTCTGAGAAAGGAAGCCTGCTTCTTAAAGATCCCTATCTTTAAACAGAGAAGAGGTGTTGAGCCAGCAAGAAAGGGAAGCACCTCCATCAGAAGAGATCAAGGGCAGTTACTCAGACTAGAGACTGTGAGATCCCCAACCCAGACAAGAAAAAAAATCATTTTAAAATGAATCTAAAATTAGACTTCAAAGGGAATGCTAGCACTAGCAAAAACATGGACATGGAAGAGTCTTGTACTGTTTTAAAAATAATGGGTTAGATCCAGGATCTTCCTTCCATATGACCAAAATCTTCATCCTGTTCAAACTTCTGTGTTGCATTTCCAGGGGCTGGATACCTTGGTCCAGGGAGGAAGCATCTTTTTGCAAAAAGAGGGTTTGTAGAAGTCAACTTCCACTAGCCCAGCTTGCCCTTCCTTAAACCTGGATCCAGATCTGTAGGGCAAGAATGGAAAATCCTGGGCTTTCCAGATGTTTTGGACTACAGCTCCTGTGATTCCTTACAATTGCCATCAGCTGGGGCTGATGGAAAACATCTGGAGGAGGGGCAAAGGTTCCATGCTCTGCTGTTCAATAAATAAAATACATTATCCTGTTTCCCAATCATGTTCTGTTGTCATACAACTTGTACACTTTTGTATGTTTATGTAACTTCGTACTGTTTTTACCTACAGTAGTTGATTTTAATTGTTTTTTAAAAAAATATTGTAAACTGTTTAAATGGTTTTATTTGTGAGCCACCTTGGGTCCCTTCTGGGGAAAAGGTGGCATAGAATTTACAGGAAGTAAGTAGAAATTAAATAAATAAATAAATAAATAAAGTCTCTGAAAGTCCGAAGTTTTGCTCCTGTACAAACTAGTCTCATTTTGGAGAGGCACATGATACTTTCTTCATCCCACAGTGTTTCCTCAGAAGTCTTGGCACAACTTTTCACCCCTCCTTTCCAGGTCAGTTTAAATTAACCCAGTATTTTCTGAAATAAAATGTATCTCTCCATGGCCTCCTGTTTGTATTTCTACACCTAAGGTGGCTACTGTCAGTAAACACAGCTATTGTATCCAGGATGCAAATTCAGCAAGGATTAAGTGAGAATGAGGAATGTTTTCACCAAAAACAGGAACAAATCCTAATGTTTAACTAGTGTAATGTTGCTAAATCTCTTCAGCACTTTGGCTATAACTCCCAAACAATAATAAACGAAGCTCAATGGAAATTGGTGAAAATCAGTTTCTGAAATGTTGCATGAGTCTAGATGTGACCTGAGATCTTTGGGAGAGGGAGGATGAAGAACACAAAGAAAGAGGCAGTGGGGGAAATGTGGGACAGAATGAATTTGGCTACAAACCTGGGAATATGTGGGTAAAACCAAAACAAAAACACTTGAATATTTCCAATATTCAACCCTGATAAGATGCTTACCACATTACAATTTTTGTCCGCTCTTAATAAAAAGGGTTATTAGTGATCAACTTTGCTTGCAATAATATGAATTAATGTTGTCTGAGTAAGGTGTTTTGATTCATCAGCCACTATGGACGTTATCACACGTGGGCCAGAAAGCGATAATAAAGTGG